ACTGCGAAATGATGGCCACTTTCGAGGGCTGGTCCAGCTGGGTGACGCTTTCCGTGGATTCAACGTCGGCCTCGCCATCTTTGGGGGGCTGCGATCTCGGAAACAGTCGCCGCTTTCGAAGATTTATGGGGGGTCCAGCGGAGTGACGGCTTACCCAGCTTCCATTTAAAACAATGAGACCTCGCCATCCCTAATGGGCTGCGATCTGCGAAGCGGTCGCCACTTTCGAAGGCTGCTGCAGGGTCTAGCGGAGTGACGTCTTAAGCAGATTGAAAGTAGATCTCGCCATCCATGGGGGCTGCGGTCTTCGAAGCTGTCGCCGCTTTCGAGGGCGGTTGGGGGTCCATCGGAGTGAAGCACCATTTAGATTCGTATTTAGACCCCGCCATCCTTGGGGGGCTGCGATCTGCGAAACAGTCGCCACTTTCGAGGGCTGCTGGGGGTCCGTCGGAGCGACGTCTCGCCATCCCTGGGGGCTGCGATCTGTGAGACTGTCGCCACTTTCGAGGGCTGCTGGGGGGTCCAGCAGGGTGACGTCTTACGCGGGCTCAAGCTCGACCTCGCCATCCCTGGGGGGCTGCGATCTGTGAAACGGTTGCTACTTTCGAGGGCTGCTGCGGGGCCCAGCGGAGTGACGTCTCACGCGAATCAAACTTAAGCTCGCCATCCCTGGGGGGCTGCGATCTGCGAAACGGTCGCCATGTTCGAGGGCTGCCGCGGGGTCCAGCGGATTGACGTCCTACGCGTATTCAAATGAGACCTCGCCATCCTTGGGGGGCTGCGGTCTGCGAAACGGTCGCCACTTTCGAGGGTTGCCGCGGGGTTCAGCGGGTTGACGTCCTACGCGGACTCAAAGTAGACCTCGCCATACTTGGGGTGCTGCGATCTGCCAAGCTGTCGCCACTTTCGAGGGCTGCCGCAGGGTTCAGCGGGGTGACGTTCGACGCGGGGTCATTCCGATCTCGCCATCCTTGGGGGGCTGCGATCTGCGAGTCTGTGGCCATTTTCGAGGGCTGTTGCGTGGTCCAGCGAAGTGACGTCCTACGAGTATTCAATTTAGACCTCGCCATCCCTGGGGGGCTGTGATCTGCTATATTGTCGCTTCTTTCGAAGGCTGCTGGGGGGAGGGTCCAGCGAAGTGACGTCCTACGCGGGGTCAAATTCGACCTCGCCGTCCCTGGGGGTCTGCGATCTACGAAGCTGTCGCCACTTTCGACGGCTGCTGGGGGGTCCCGCAGAGTGACGTCTGACGCAGATTCAGAGTAGAACTCGCCATCCCTGGTTGGCTGCGATGTGCGAAGCTGTCGCCACGTTCGGGGGCTGCTGGGGGTCCGTCGGAGCGACGCCTTGCGCGGACTCCAATTAGACCTCGCCATCCCTGGAGGGCTGCGATTTGCGAAACGGTCGCCACGTTCGAGGGCTGCTGGAGGGTCCAGCGGAGCGACGTCTTACACATATTCAAAGTCAACCTCACCATTCCTGGGGGGCTGCGATCTGTGGATCGGTTGCCACTTTCGAGGGTTGCTGCGGGTTCCCGCGGAGTGACGTCTTACGCGGATTCAGCTTAGACCTCGCCATCCCTGGGGGGCTGCGACCTGCGAAACAGTCGCCACTTTCGAGGGCTGCTGGGGGTCCAGCGGATTGACGTCCTACGCGCATTTAAACGAGACCTCGCCATCCTCGGGGGGCTGCGATCTGCGAAACGGTCACCACTTTCGAGGGTTGCCGCGGGGTCCATCGTGGTGACGTCTTACGCGGACTCAAAATGAGACCTCGCCGTCCCTGGTGGGCTGCGAACTGCGAAATGATGGCCACTTTCGAGGGCTGGTCCAGCTGGGTGACGCTTTCCGTGTATTCAAAGTCGACCTCGCCATCTTTGGGGGGCTGCGATCTCGGAAACAGTCGCCGCTTTCGAAGATTTATGGGGGGTCCAGCGGAGTGACGGCTTACCCAGATTCCATTTAAAACAATGAGACCTCGACATCCCTAGTGGGCTGCGATCTGCGAAGCGGTCGCCACTTTCGAAGGCTGCTGCGGGGTCTAGCTGAGTGACGTCTTAAGCAGATTGAAAGTAGATCTCGCCATCCATTGGGGGCTGCGGTCTTCGAAGCTGTCGCCGCTTTCGAGGGCTGTTGGGGGTCCATCGGAGTGAAGCACCATTTAGATTCGTATTTAGACCCCGCCATCCTTGGGGGGCTGCGATCTGCGAAACGGTCGCCACTTGCGAGGGCTGCTGGGGGGTCCCGCGGGGCGCTGTCGCCGGCTGCCAGCAGATCGTGCGGCGCGCCTTGGACTGTATAGCGCCCGCGCTGAAAAGTGCAGGAAGAAAGCAGGGAAGCTGGCGGGCGAGCTAGGGTTCGCTCGCTTCTTGCACCAACAATGTACAGGTTTAAACGGTTTAACCATTTTGTCGAGCTCCGCGGCGTCATGGCGCAGGCAAGGCTGCATCTTAGCGTACTGCCGACAAAGCAACACCTTTCGGTCTCCTCCAGCCACTTTCGTCGTCGAGCCCTGCCCCCTGCCACCTTCGCTCAGCTGCTTCCGTGCTGACCGTTCGGCCTCCCGCGCGTCCTTTCCCTGCCCTTTGTTCCCGCCCCCATGTCGTCCTCAAGCCTGGGCCCTCGCTCCTCGTCCTTTTGTTGTTATCCTGTGAATCGTTCTACGCGAGCGCACCCGATAGCTTGCACAACATAGAACGGCGCCTGCACGATCGTTGTCCTGGCAATTTTAGGACAACTCCTCTTGTCACTTGATGCAAATGGATTGGGTACGTCGCAGGGTAATTGTTCAGCATGGGCACTCCACAAGTCATTGCCTTTTTCCCTGCAGGGCCAGCTTTTCATCCCGAGTCGTGTTTGAGGGTCCTGGGGGCCTGCGAGGGCCCCCAGAGGCCGACCATCGAGAACAATTTCCGGATTGATTTTGTCAGGACGTTGCGTGTAGTTCACCCCCTGTTGTATTGCCCCTCTATTGATTGCGACGCCCGACCGCCCCGTGGCCCTGAGCGCGAAGAAGTCCCGAGCTTAGGTCCAAAGTCGCGAGGAGCAGATGTACCGATGCCATTGCCCGTCCCCCGCCGTCATGGCCTGGGCCGCCTCGGGGTTCTCGCCAGAGCCCTGAGGCAGCAGGGGCATCGGTGTGCCCAAACCCCCGACTTTGCATTCTTTCGTGACGTCGATCCTCAGAGGTCTCGACCCATTCCCGGGGACCAGCTTTTCATCCCGAGTTGTATTTTGATTGTCTCGGGGCCCGGTAAGGGCCCGTAGGGGCCGAAAAGGGTGAAATACCCCCTCGCGCGATAATTTGCACGACGCGAGAGGTCTGCCTGTTGGTGTCACCCTCCCCGACGCCGCAGAGAACATGGCCGGATCTCAGCCGTGTCTTTCGGTCGGCATTTCTCGACCCCGTCTTTCGAAGGCTTTTCTCGAGCCGGAGACCGACCCGCGAGGATCCCAAGGGCCCGAGGCTAGGCGAGATTGTTCGGAGTGAAAGGGTGCAACGAAAGACCTGGAGGCGAGAGATTTCGCAATCCTCAGTGCCGTATTCCGCGGGCGGAAGTTCCAAGGCCAAGCCAGAGCAGGAGGAGGATGAGGAGGAGGAGGAGGGGGAGGAGGAGGAGGAGGAGGAGGGGGAGGGCGTTCGTCAGCACAAGTGGCACAAGGAGAAAGAGGCAGCACGGCTTTCAGACCAGAGAGATCTGCGAGACGAGAACGTCGACAGGCAACCGCGGTCCCTATCTGGCCCCGCCGCCCCAACCAAAACCCAGGTGCAAGGCCCAGATCTCAGGGACCGCACTCCCAGGCCTCCCAAAGCAGGGTCTATAGAATCCTGTCGATCCGATTCGAGATTGATTCTGGCTGGGCTCGGATGCGGCCCGATGCTCGCATGGCGTTGCTTTGTGGCCTGGCGTGGACGGTCCGATTCGATTTCGTTTGCGTGCTGATGCGGTCCGAGCTGGCGCACGTTCCGATCCGATCGGATTCCCCGATTCGCTGCTGACTAATCCTGCCGCGCGCGCGACGAACGCCGTCCAGGCCCCCCAAATGGGGCCTGGAGTCGATGGGGTCGGAGGATCGCGCCGCATCGCCGATGCATCGGCGATGCGGGGCGATCTTAGCCCGTTTTTCCCCGTCCCGCTGGCGCTGGTGCATCGATGATGCGGCGCGATGAGAAACGTGCGTGTGTGTGTGTGTGTGCGTGTGTGTGTGTGTGTGTGTGTGTGTGTGTGTGTGTGTGTGTGTGTGTGTGTGTGTGTGTGTGTGTGTGTGTGTGGGGGCGTGTTTGTGTGTGTGTGTGTTTGTGTGTGTGTGTGTGTTCTCTCTTTGCCATGCCCGCGTTCCCCTCGCGACTGCTCCCTCGCGAGCGTTGCTGACGATCCCCATTTGGGTGGATTCAGCTTCTCCACGCTGCTTGAGCTGGCCCTGTCCGCGCGCTCTTTTCTCGACTTGCGCCGCCGCGCGCGTGGTTGCGAAGCCGAACACGTTTGCCTGTGTGTGCGTGCGTGCGTGCGTGCGTGCGTGCGTGCGTGTGTGTGTGTGTGTGTGTGTGTCAGCCGGGCGTACACGCGTTCGCTTCATTGCCTTCCATCTTTCTACGCCCCGTCGCCACGCGCGGGGCCGCGGCGCCAAAACATGTGTGTGTGTGTGTGAATGTGTGTGTGTGTGCGTGCGTGCGTGCGTGCGTGCGTGCGTGCTTGCGTGCGTGCGTGCGTGTGTGTGTGTGTGTGTGTGTGTGTGTGTGTGTGCGTGTGGGTGTGTGTCTGCGTGTGTCCGTGTGTGTTGTGCAATACGGTGAAGTACAAGGCAAGGGAAGAGGCGCCTCTCCCCCAGCCCCTTCTTCAACTAGACGTGGCAGAACATACAACGGATTCTCTTTCTCACCTTCCCCCCTTTCTCCTCATCCTCTTCTTCATCGCCTCTTCCTTCGTTTGCGTCGTTCTCTGTCCGCAACCGCTTCCTCGTACCCGTCCCTCTTTCCATGTTCTTCCGCGCTATGCTCAGGGCGAGGAGTTTGCGTTCGCCAATTCCATGATGTTCATAGAGACCAGCGCGAAGACAAGACAGGGCATCAAGCAGGCGAGGCCACAGCAGCGGGCGGGTGCTCTTTCTCACTCTTTCGCTGCTCGCGATCTCCTCTCTATACAGAACAGAACATAACAAGTGTCAACGCTCGCAAGGGCGGCCCGAAGGCGGGCGACAGGCGTGCTTGGCCCGCTGGCCCTTCGAGAAAGGGCCCTGTGACACTGCTGTAATTGACAACGTGTGAGAATCAAGCGAGGTGAACTGCGGCAGTTCTGTTGGTCGCCCGTTCCCGCTCCTGGCCGCATGGTGCGTCCGCGTGTTCGCAGTTCGAGCACGAGGACGGCCGTTAAACAATGCGCCGAAGTAAGTTTCGACCCACCGAGGAGGCTAGCTTGGTCATCGAGGTTGGGCGGTTCTTGGGCCTTTGGGGCCTCCCGAAGCTTCTGGAGGCCCCTCAAGGCCTCTGGGGACCTGGGGGCCCCCGGTGACTCCTGGAGGCCCCTGGAGGCCTCGAGAGGCTTCTACCAGGGACCTCCGGAGGTGTCTTCGGTCGTCGGTTGTCTTCGGTCGTCGGTGTCGTCGTCCTCGTCGTTCGGCGCACGTCGGTCGTCTGTCGCTTCTGGATCTATGTCGTCGCCCGTCCGTACCCTGTCGTACTCGTCTGGTCCTCCCGCCTCGAGGCCTTCGAGGAGGTCGTCTTCAAGATCCTCGACACCCCGTCCCTGCTCCAGAGCACCCAGGCGGCGGGCCGGCAGGCGACACATCTTCCGCCCTCCTGTTGGAGGGGGGGGGGTGCTTCGCGGGGGCGAGGAGTGGGAAGGGTGGGGGAGGAGGACGGGAGGAGCAGGACGAGGAGTCGGAGGCGGAGGCTTGGAGACTTGGAGACTACCTCGAGGGGGAAACCCTCGCTCGCCACACCGGGCGCGTCACAAAAATCACGAATCTTCGAAGCTACAGACCTCGAAAAACTCGACCTCTGCAGCTTGCAGGCCCTTGTACTCGGAGAGAAAACTCACAACCGAAGACGGGTCCACGAAGCCATGCAGACGGGCGACCTCATGGTCAATGAGAGGAGGAGCAAACTGGAAGCCGTATCCCGCCGACCCACACCCAGACCCAGCTCCGCCCCCCGAAGATTCAGCACGCTGCCCCCGCGCGTCCTCGAGGCCGCCGCCGGCGGCCAAGGACGGGAGGCGCGCGCGCCAGAGATCTCGCAGCACCTGCGAGGGCGCGCGGTAGGCCTCCAGCACCGCGTTCTGTCGACCTGGGTATTGGCCTTTCCTGAGGCGGGCTCTCTGGGTCCTGAGGCCTGGGGCGTCTCTCCCCTGGCAGGCCGCACCGAGCCCCGCTCCCCTGGAGAAGTGCTTACCTACCGAGGCTCCGCACTGCATACAGAAGAGAACATTCTTGCCTGTTTCGATCTCAGGTCCCCCGGGAACAGACACCACCGAGGCCTGAACGACCGAGTGGCCGTTGACTGCCCACGGGACTCCTTCAAAGCTGATGGCGCCGAAAGGTTCCTGAGGAGGGGCAGCAGCAGCAGCAGGCGTGCAGGAGGCCGAGGAGGTGGAGGGGACGAAGGGACCATCAGCATATGGTTCCACCCTCTCCGCGGCGCACTCGGCCAGCAACATCCTGCCCACAGAGGTGGCATTCAAATCGACGACGAGATCCGAGGTCCCAGCCACCCCCTGCGAGTCCGAAAGCTCAAGGGCCCCAAACATTTGCTGGGCCCTCGCATGCCATCGCGACGCAGCTAAGGCGAGCGTCTCAACACCCTCGATGAACAGCACTTGTTTGGGCGGGACGGCCCAGAGCTTGGCACCCTTCTTGGCCCAGAAATCTGCGAGGCGGTTTCCGCGGATGCACCATTCCTCGTGGTCATCCGCAGCAGACTCCAGACTGACGTGGGCACGGACCTTATGCACACTAGCGTCCTTGCCAACTCCGGCCCACCACTGCTCCCAACAGTGGCGACGAGGGTTGTTGACATCAAGCCCAACACCCACATTCGAAGCACAGCCAATGGAACCTTTGCAATCACTGTAGACAACAAGAGGGTTGTCTGGATCAAGCTCTGCTACCTCAGACAGGACATGAAATGCGTAGTCCTCCGCATCTCTCGCAAGCTGCTCTGGGGCAAGATGGGGGGGGGCGATCCCGTATACCCCACCAATGAGGTTCCCCGCAGGGTCTACTTGGACTATGGCCCAGCCACACCGCGAGAGACCTGCCAAGGTGGTGTGAAACGCACTGCCGTCGACGAAGACCGCCCCCGAAAACTTCCAGCCCACAGGGACCCCAACCCAACGCCTGAGATGCTCAGGATTAGCCTCCAGCTTCGGGAAACAGCGGGAGGGGGAGGGGAAGAGGCAGCGACAAAAGAGTTCGCCGTGCACCTCGCTTTTGTCCCTGACTCTCCGAGCCGCCTCCTGGAGGAACTGGGGGCACTCTTCGCGACGAATGTGCTGCAAGCAAGGACATTCATACAGCCGGTGAAACAGAGTCCCCCTCATCCCACAAAGAAGGCAACGATCATGCTGACTCTTGCCGTGGGCGAACAAACGGGCTTGCGGCCAGTGGGCCCCTCCCACCAACGACCGCATGGCATTCTTATGATGAGGAGTCCACGTCTCAGACTCCCGTTTATCCAAGAGGCGACGGACAGGAGCCCAGTGCAGGGGCGCTTGCCAGGCGCCCTCAAGGCGCCGCAACGACATCACGTCAGACGCATCGAGAGCCATCTGACGAACGCGTTCGCAGCAGAAGCTGGGCGAAAACTGAAGCACAGAATCCTCCACATCCTGTGCCACAAAGCTGAACGCCGAAGGCATTAAAATGCCCACGCGGGCAAAACTTAAGAGCGCCGCTTGCGCAGGGTCCACGCAGCCCAAGGACGGGGCCTGGCCAAAAGGGCCAAACCGGCAGACCAGCAAGCCTCCAGTGGCCCGCGCCCAGGAAGGGCCGAGATGGCCGCCAGGGCCCAGTGTTGCATGACCTCGACAGTGTGGACTACCAGCGGGTCGCGGAATGCACCACGTGGCGAAGCTCTCAAACGCAAGCCTACAGATGCACCAGAAGGCAGGCGGCCTTCAGCACGTAAGGCTGAGACCCGGAGCCCGTGCAGCTTGAGATCCGAGATCCCAGTCACGGCCGACCCCCACACCGCCGTCGCCGTAGGAGACCCCTCATGACAGTGCTGACTTGCGCTCCAGCTCTACGACGCTGAATTACCTTGGCTGTGACACGCTTGGCTTTCTGAAGCCTTTTGTCCTGCTCACCTGTACGCCGTGCGGAGCCGTCGTTCGCATCGGTGCCCAAGCACCTCGTGCCTACCAGGCGGTCCTCGTCCTTGAGGGTCCATCTGGCAGACAGCGCGTCTGTGAGCTCCTTCGAACTAGACAAGAACCCAGTCTTGTCCCAGTTGGCACGAAGCTGTTTGGCCTCCAGGCCTCGCACAAGGCTCATCATGGCGTCAGGGAACTGGTTAACCACTTGGGCCAGGGACCCGACAGCCTGCAACAACTCATCAACGAGATTTTGAAAGCGGATCGCGGGAAACTGCCTTTGAGGTTTCACGACGAGCGTGTGAACCAGCAGTTTAGCGAGTGCCAGGGCGCACGAACACCCGGCAGCAACTGTGCCGTTAGCTTCAAGAGGAGGTGAGACTGCGCCCTCCCACATGGCACGACGAGGTAGCCGGTACACTACACAGAGGCACCTGAGCAGCTGCAGCGGGAAGCCCGTGCGAACGGCCTCCCGCTTAAGTTCATCATGCGAGATGTATTCGTAGTACTTGCTAAGGTCAAGCACTCCGCTCGTGGCCGAAAATCATTTCAGCCGCGCGAAGCGCTGCAAAATATTATGCACGTGCCCTGATCGATCACACGCGTGCCCAGCATCGCCCCAAAAGGCAGGGTTGTCCAGAGAGTGCTCCCAGCGACGAGCGACAGGCTGACGAAGCCTCGACCACACACGACACCACAATGGGAGAAGGACAATAGGTCGGACACCTCCCGGGGGCTGGGGCTTGCTGTTGAAAAACACCAAGAGCAGCCATAGGTCAACCGACTGAGGCAATAACTCCCAGGCAACAAGAATGTCGAGGAAAGCCCTCCTGTACGACGAAGGCAGCCAAGGAGGAGGATGCGGGGAGGAGGAGTAATGAGGAGTCTTCGGACCTCCGCCAGGGGGGGTCGATGGAGGAGCCGTTCACACGGCAGGCGCCTGCTTCACAGCTCCGTCTGTGAGGGGTTTGGTGTGTCCTGCCTGTCTGGCGACCTGGCCGGCCGCGGCGACGAGGGCATCCAGCCCCGAATTGCCCAACGTGCCCTTTGTTGAGTCTCTGCTGGCAAGGGGATGGGGGTGGAGGAGGAGAGGAGGAGGACGAGGGGGAGGAGAAGAAAGAAGATCGAGCAGGAGGACGAAGAGGTGGAGGAGGAGGAGGAGGAGGAGGAGCAGGAGGATGATGATAACTCGCATTCGGATTCGGAGTGATAGAGAAGCAGGATCGAGCATCTGTTGGGGCTCTCTTGGACCATCCTGGAGCCATCCTGAGGCCTCAAGAGTCCCCAGCGAAAACGGAAAGGTTTGAGCTGAATTTCCTGTGGTTTGACCATATAAGCAACATTGTTTTTCTGATGGTTTGAGCTGAATTTATCGTGTCAGGGAGTTCCTTGGGAGGCTCCGTGGTCATTTGGAATCGTCTTGGGGCGTGTTTGGGGCCTCTTGGAGGCATGCTGTGGGCTATCTCCAGCCATCTTGGGTTATATTTTGCGAGCTTGGAGGCACATTGGGCTATATTGTGCCCTCCTGCAGCCATGTTGGGACATCTTGAGCGCTTCCACCCCTCGCGACACGCCCCCTCCAGACGCAGGGAGGGAGGGTAGTGTAGAGGTAAGCCTCTCCCCCAAGGTGGAAGGATGAGGTTAGAAGAACTAACTCGCTGAGCCATCTACGCCCAAAGGGCTGGTAAGATGTTTCGCTCTGCATTTATTGGATCGCTTCACTCATTCCGCGGGCCCATATTGTATCAGTGTTGCTATATGTTGGTGTGCTCGTGGTGAGCGAGGAGGAGGAGGAAGAGGAGGAGGAGGAGGAGGAGGAGGAGGAGGAGGAGGAGCTCTTGGGGTCCTCTTCGGATGCTTTCCGAGGCGGTCTTGGAGGGCTTTGAGGCCTTTTTGGACCGTCTTGCGGCTCTCTTGGGTTGCTTTGAGGCCCTCTTGGAGGTCTCGTGGGCTGTTTTGGATAGATTTTGGAGGCTGGGCTCGAAATGTCCGTTCGGGTCCCCCGTCTGGGCTCCCTCTTGGAGCAGTCCCGGGTGCCATCTCGGGCTGTCTTGGAGGCTTGTTGGGCCGTCTTGGGGCCATCTCGGCCCGTCTTGGGACCTTCTTGAAGCCCTCTTGGTCCGTCTGGGGGCAATGTTGAGGGACTCTTGGGCTGTCCTGGAGCGTCGGGAAGCCGAACAGTTGAGAACGCCGAAATCTTGTAGAAAATCCCTAGGGAAATCAACCATTGTTGTGTCCTGGGGCCCTCTGGAGACGCTTCTTGGATGCGTCTGTAGGCGTCTTCGAGGCGTCTGCGGCCGCGTGGAGACGATCTTGGGCGTCTTGGACCGATCCAGGGAGTTACGGCATCCTTGGGCAGACCTTGCCAGGAGTTTGCCGGGGCCTTGCTGGGGTCGTCTGGGGACCCCAGGGGCCGCCCGGCGCGCGCGAACTAGAAAGATAGTGGGCCAGTCACCGGAGATCTAAGC